ACGCCGCCGTCAGCAGAAGCAGCAGTTACAACGAATTCCCGGAGTGGCAGCGTAACGGTATTCACACGGAGCCTTGACAAACTAACATGTCAAATTCAGTAGTACTACAAGAAAAGTCTGGCAGCTTTGTGGCAGGGGTACCATGTTATGTACCGAGGGAAAGAGCTGGAGATAGGGGTGTCGCGAACCGGCCGAGGTTCGAGTTCGACCAGGTTCGACTTTTTCGAACTTTTAGTGGAAAATTCGACGAACCTTGTATTGAAGTTCGACTCGTGTGCGCATGCGCGACAGGCTGGCCAGTTGGCTTCGGATTGGATGGTAATGGCTAAGGGATAAATTAAGGGCAGCACTGATTGGTTATTTCACTTAATACAGTACAAAAAATTTAAGTTATTAATCTCTTCAGTGATTAGAATTAGTTTCTTTTAATTGCAACTGTTTATAAAATAAAATAACCCTTTTCTTAAAAAAAGACATTCTCCAAACCTAAACATGCTTGTATCAAGGTCTGGCCACACTGTCCACAAAGTCGAACCGGTCGAATCTGGTGAAAAGGTCGAAGGTTCGTCGAACCGGTTCGACCCAGTTGAACCCCGAAAGTTCGACCTAAAAATCTGGGTCGACAAAAGTTCGCGACACCCCTAGCTGGAGATTGTGCTGTATGCAAGGAGGTTAGAAGTACTAGGAGGGGGCGCGTTGCAACGTGTGTGAAGCCTAGTCATAAAAAGTTTAAACGATGTTGTGCCCAACGTGACCCCCAGATCTCGCTGGCAATTGGTGCCCGTGACATGTCACGTGCGAAATGGACCGTTGATTGTAGTAGGACTCCTTGCAGGCTTGCGCGCGCTCCGTCCGGTAGGTTTTATCAGATCGAAGGTCCGGTAGGTCACGTCCGGTACGTCACGTGCTGGGCCGATAAGTGAGGAGGGTAAGGAGGAAAATGAGAAAGAGGCGAGGCGTCAACGGAGCTTGGCTTGTGGAGGCTACACGGCTGACGTCATGCCCCCTCCTACCCTTCTAATCTCCTTGGCTGTAGGGGGGATAATATTTCCATTTATATTTATTTTTATAGAATCGCGTTTCCACGGAATAAACATTTTGTGGGTTTACTCCCATTTACTTAGTACTGATTTCTCAAATGCACTCTCAGCAAAAAGGGTGTATTCTTACACCCTTCGTCCCATATAAGGCACCCTAAAACTTCAGTTAGGCGTACAGCTAACAGACGTCGAACGGACGGTACCAACTTTCACGAGAGGTTTGATAGCCGTGTGGTACAACTTTTTAAAATAAGTAATGTACGTGTTACTGACTACAAAAGACAAAAACAAAAATAATTGGGCTTTTCTTGGCCCTACTGCAAAAGCTCAGTGTTCTTTCTGTGGTCTTTCATACGTACTTTAACTATTTAACAAGTTCCATCGCACCGTTATGAAGCGAAGCCCCTCGTACAATTTGGGGCCGTCTGTTCGACTATAGTGCGCTGTACGTCGGACTGAAGTTTTAGGGTGCATTACATGAAACAAAAGGGTGTAAGGTGATACCTTTTTTTTTTTTTTTTTTGAGGGTGTGCACGTTTTAGCGACCATGGGCGCGAGGCTTCTTCCATCAAAATGACGGGACAACATAAATGAATCTCAAAAACGGGACTGTCCCGCCCAAAGCGGGACGTCTGGTCACCCTAGTTAAGCTACATAGGGTTTTGTTAGGTTAGGTCCGATTGAACTGAGTTGCCGGCATATGGAAACCAACGCGGCATCTCGCCGCAGTGTACATCCGCCGGACCAACTCCAAGAACCGGCCAGATGGTCAGAAGTCAGAACATTGTTGCACCGCCCCTTTAGCCGGTGCATCATATATACTGCCCACATGTTTAAACCGGTCCCGGAGAAGTCACAGATTGTGTCACATGAGCCAACGTGTCACGTTGTCCGATGTCTCGATCCTGGCTCTTGGTTGTAAAAGCTCTGGCAAAAAAGTATGAGCTGTCTCTGTCGTCGTGGCATCCAGACCCCTGGCTGCTGAAGTTTCGGCGGACTGTCGGGCTGTAGAACGAGCTACAGTAAAACAGGCATCTGCCTCCGTTGTTGCATACGTCACCACCAGGGTCGCGGCAGGCGACAGCATGACAGGAGTGTGACGTCATCGTGTGAAAATGGAAGGGCCACAAATGAGGACGCGGTAAAGACACCAGTCAGAGACGTGCCCTTGACATCGTAGCGAGGGTAGTGACAAGCGCGGTGTTTGAAATCGGTGCCTCGCAGCATCTACGTGGCATTAAAGCAAAGATACAGACAGTCTGATTTAACATAAACACTCTAAACCTGGAGTGTAGGTAAGGGCAGGGCTCTTTTAAAGATTGAAACCATATCGTTTTCACGCTTTGCTTTCCTAAAAATACCTTGTCAATAAGATTTGCGACGCAACCTGCGACACCTCCAGCGACAACTTTTCCAAACATACTTTGCAGAATGGGCTCCATCATTCCTTTTTCACGAGTGAAAACAAAAGAATGGCCGTGTGCAACTAGAAAGTGTGCAGAAATGAATTTGAAAGCCAAGTAGCATTCCTTTCGCGCTCTATTCTGCCGTAAATGTTCCCCCTGTCACCTTGCAGTGCAGGGGTGCGTAGTGGTAGAGCTGTCCCTCCAGCCGAACATGTACACCCAGCCGAACATGTGCATAATCTTGCTTTGTGAAAAAACTTTAAAAAAAAGCTGTTATATGTTATGATGGCTATTCTTTGAAGCATCGTGTTTTAGAAAGCTGTTTGTTTGGGAACGTGATGAACATTACTAACTTGCCAACGTGTGGCAAAATGTGATAATCACGTGAAATATTAGTTCTAGTCTCATCATCATCACTGTAGAAGGGCCAGGAATTTAACTTCTCACCCATGCTACGAGCTCTGTCAGTGTATGCATGTAGGCACCAGTGGATAGAACCTCCTTAGAGATGTGAAAGCATTTGGCTTCATTCTGGGTGCATTTTACATTGGGCAGTCACATGACCCCATCACCAACAACCATATATAAAAGTGGTGTTGATGGAGAAGCAGTGCGTGATATTGCACATTTGAATTCACAGCACCGCATTGTATGAAATAGAAACCAGCACTTTACTAACAGTTTTTGAATAAAGATCTGTACAAACTTTAATTCTAACTGTCGTGGGACTGAAAAGGCACTCAACAAAAAGTTGCCTGTCAGCAATAGCTCATTCATAAAAAAAAAAAAAGAAAAAAAAAGACGACAACAGGCAATTTTGAGGCAATAGCGTTCTGAATGTCAAAATTGCACGCTATTTTGCCCGTTGATCAGCTTCTAATCATAATGACATTGCCAGCTGTAAATACCTTACTGACTGCTTCGTGTGAAAAAATGCTCCCCGTACGCCTAAGCACTTCTTACGAGTTGTGAATGTGAAAGCATGTACATCATTTTTCCGCTCTCTTATTCCGTCTGCAGGGTATATGCGTCGGACCGCAGAGCGGCGCGCTCTGTCGGCGAGGAGGGGGCGCCTCTTCTCGCCGCTCTGACCTTAGACGCTCTGTGTTAGCGGCGCGCTGACAGACCAGCAGCGCCATGGGGAGAGCGGTCGTTGAAACTGACGCACAGCGGCCAATGGGAGCCTCGTCGACACGCGCCAGCCAATGGGACCGAAACCGAAAATCCATCATCTTTACTACGCTCCTTTGGGATCGGGGAATTTAGGTGCCGATTGGCTAGGCTTTTCGCGTGGTACCATAGCTGGGAGCTGGCTTCACTTGGAGAAAGGATTTAAGGTGCCGTTGGGCACGGTTTCAAAGCTGATGACTTCGGCTCCCTCCATGAGACAGTTAATGCTTTCGCATTAAAAACTAAGTGCGAAGCGAGCTGGTGGTAGCTAATCATGTCGTTTAACACCCAAGAGTGTGGTGCAGAAAAGGAAAAAAAAAACTGTCTTTTCTGCACTATAGTCTCAGATGTTAAACTACATGATTGACTACTTCATGACGCTTAGCAATGCCTATGGACTGCAGTTTAACATATTCACACTGCGTCCATATTTGCTGCACGATTCAAAAGTGATCTCTGCCACTTAGGTGAAATTTGGCTTCCGGTGGTAGCAGACATTCTAGTTGCAAAAAAGCTTTCCCAAAGACATATGGCTAACAAGGAAGCTGATCAGTACTGTGTGAGTTAAGTGTGATACAGCCCCATGATGTCATAGTGAGCATAGCCCCATAATTTTAGTCACTGACTTTAGCCTCATTGCGGCTGCATTAAATGTTTCTAGCTGAAGATTTCGTGAACTCATGGGATTAAAGTCTTAAACTCTTAAACTGTTTTGCTAATGCCTTAAAATGAATTTTTCCAAAAAAGAAAAAAAAAGAAAAACTTTTAGACAGTATGCTGTGAGACTCATCTTTAGAGAGACGCCATTCCGAACCCTGCTTCTATCTTGGCCTGACATCGAAGCACCTCCCAATACTCAAAATGAGTCTCGTGACCAATTTTCTCTATATTTGTTTTATTTAAAAGAAGGTAAATTCTTTAGGTGCACAAAAAAGGCATGAAGTTGGGAGGCGGTCAATGTTTCTGTTGGAAACGTTTTAATGTTGAAGAGGGCTTCTAACTAGTTTGCAAAAAGAAAAAAAGATTTCTGAAGTGATCCTTGCTGACATGAAACCTCACATATTTTGTTCATTTGCAAGGAAACCAAGAGATTACATTTTATAAAGAATACTGCACATAAAAACTGCTTTATAAAATCAATTTCACTATGTGTCTTCTCTTTACTTCTTGCGATTATGTGTAACAATGTTCCGAAACGTTGTAATGATGACTAGTGTAATGTGCATGGCATCAATCATCAAACAAATCATATTTGTAAGACGCAGCTAAAGAAAGGTGATCGATAGGGCATCAAATGCTCGTATGGAATGCCAAACAAGAAGGTGACTATGTCAACACGGAATGGGTCTCGATATTTTATTGACCTAAATAATGGAATTTGGAAGTGATATACCAAATAGCTTAGCTATGAGAGAAGGTTTACTCACTATTAGATGGTGCTTGCTATGAGAACCTTTCATATTGTCTGTAGTAACTCATAATGATGAGTAATGAAATGACTATAAAAGAAAGTTAAATGAAGCTCATGGAGCCCTTGTCCTGGTTTCTGAAGATAACGTCCTTGTTATCAGTTGAAGTTGCACCTGAAAAATATTACCACTTTCAGTTAGTTCTCATCAAGCAGAATTCTACAGTAAGATGTTAGCTGATTAGCGTAAAGTTCCCAAAGAACGCCCACCAAAAATGAAGAGATAAATGGTGAAAAACATGGGATGGGCTATCTTTGGGGATGCCACAGCAAAACTTTATCAAAAATTAATTATAAACAGTCTGGCACCCGCTACAAACCACGTGACGCGAGAACGGATACCGCATGAACGCAGACACCGCAAATTCGCGTTTTTCACGATGCGATAAACACGCGGGAATCGGCTACGAACTCCGGGAAAGGATACCGCAGGTCGCGTTTCACGGTAGGAAGGACTCGTGGAAACCCACCGAAAACTCGCATCTCACGGGAACGAATATCGCAGACGCAGCAGGTTCAAGTTTTGTGGTGCAACAAACACGCGGGAACCCTCTACAAACTCGCCTGTCACGGGAACCGATATCGCGCGCGCAGATCGCGAACAAAAACGCGGGAATCCGCTACAAACTTTATGTCACGGAGGACGGGAACGGATACCGCAGATTGCGGACGGAGCAGATTCGCATTTCACGGTGCAACATACATGCGGGAGCAACCCGAGTGAGCCGATATTGCGCGCGCAGATCGCGGACCAAAAACGCGGGAACCCGCTATGAACTTGCTTGTCGGACGCGCCGGCACAGCAAATTGCGCGGTTGATGCGATTCTCGTTGGAGATCGCGTGACGTCCGATGGGAATTGGGGGTGGGCGGTGTTCCGGAATTTTTATGTTAGATATTTAGCCAGAAAAACGAGATGGGCGATCTCTCGGGGGTGGGCGTCCTCTCGGAACTTTACGGGTATGTTGATATTTTTATCCATGGGATATGTGATCCGCTAGAGTGATCTATTTATAGAAATAGTTTTGCACGACGTGCTCTGCGCCGTGCATTTTTCTATAATTAGTTGATTTAGTGGTTTTCGATGATACTAAGTAGGTTTCTGATTGGAATCGTATATTTATTTTCTTTAATTGCAAAGTTAGAAAATTTTTGTTAATTATTAAGATAATTAGCATGTTCTTTTTTTATCCCTGATGTCCGCCGTGGCTGAAAATTTGTTCCCGGAAATTTGTTTTTTCAGCCACCCTATTTTTAGGGATTTCTGAAGGTCTTTGCTAAAACACCTGCTATATTAAAAGACGGGGAATTATTACCAGAATCAAAACCGGTATGCTCAAGCTGCTTCCACAGCCGAGCTGCTTTTGTCTTCGAGCTTTCTGGTACTTGTCTTTTCTTTTGATCATGGAGTCAGTGTTGTGTGTAAGCAAAGACTTGACAAGAATACTGACCTCGCAACTTGAAACACTCTCAGAAATGACCATATGGGGTTTGAAGAAGCTGTTAAAATAAAAACAAAAAATGAGAAATTCCTCGTGAAGATCGACGCAATATGTCGTACTGATCGTCGCCTCACCTTTATCGATGGGCTATAAACTGACTGAACCCCTGCAAAAAAAAAGTAATTTGTCATGGCTCGTGTCTCTTCGGCACTTCCCGAATACATTTTGAATGCTTAGCATTTATAGGGTAGACATCACGTGAGCAAATGACGTTTTAGCGAACAGCGCTGTTTGAGCGAATCGACGTTTTAGCAATACCAAAATCGTGCGTAATCCCCCCCCCCCCCCCTCCCTTCCCTGTGTTCACGCCGCTTAGCGGTGACAGTCTGCGGCGGCGCATTACGGAAATGTTAACCCACTTGGCGCACCCATAAACGTCGCTTCGCGGTGGCCGGCCATTCGCTAAACTGTCATTCGATGGAAAGTTCCCTAAAACGTCGTTAGACCAACTGAGTGCCACCCCATTGATAGGGCCTCTTCGCAATTCTTTTGCAAACTCACTAAGAACACAACCATGGGCCGACTGCCATGGTTTTGTGAATGCACTTATATATGAAGTCATTAGCGTCACGTGAGACATATGAATTTAGAGCGCCTTTTGGACGACGTCACGTGACACTGACGACATCGGTGTTACATCCACGGACACTCAGTACCCGAGAGCCCCTACGCATTGAAAAGAGTGAGAATTCTTTGCATACGCCCAGTGCTGCTGCCTGAAGGAACCGTTGACGGACATCGGTTGTGCCTGAAAGGTAACACCATTAACCCTCTTTCGTTTATTGTATCTCCGGGGATACAGACTTAAAACGCACAAATAAAAATCACTGTAAATATATACTCCCTCAAATGGGCAATGTATCTCATGGGACACATCCTCCGCGGCGGCCGAGACACCTAGCGCCACCTCCCGGAGCCTACAGCAAGTGTTTCTTCGTGAGTGACAGAACATGGCGTCGACCAGTGCTGGCGTCCACGTGTCCACGGCAAGTGCTACTTTGTACTCTAAACGTTGAAACGGTAATCAAAATCTAACATTGCGATTTTATACAAAAGTGTGCAAACACTTTGGTGATGTATTTTTAATCGAATACCCCGATCCAATTATGCAAAGCAGGGTGATAATCCGTGTGTATCTCACAGGATACACTGCACGTTTGGGGTATTCGTTCCACTGTTTTGTATACGTTTTTCCAATGTTTTTTTTTTATTTTTGTTTTGTGCAGGAGCTAACTGCAAGGACATTTTATGGCTCACAATTGAGAAAGAGAGCCACAGTGATCCCTCCTGAAGGTGGAATATCCGACGTCGACTCATCAAGCGATGATGAAACGGACACGGACAATGATGACACCAGCTTCAAGGCAAGGAGTAGAAGCTTGGAAGTAGAAGAATCCCTCTCGGAAGACGAAGCCGAATTGCCAAAGAACGCCGCCTCGTCGAAACAAGGTGACAAGTACAAATGGAGAAAGACAAGTTTCAACCACGACTTCCGAGCTCCAGAACCGCAGTTTGAGCTTGCACCGGAAGATCTCACTCCACTGCAGTATTTTCAGATGTATTTTGGCGATGAGTTCATTGAGAAGGTGGTTTACGAGACAAATCTGTATTCCACTCAACAGACCGGATGCTCAATCAACACGAACGTTGCAGAGTTAAGGTCCTTCATCGGAATTCTTCTTATGATGGGCGTCGTCGGGATGCCTTCGTTTGAAGACTAGTGGGCCAATCAAACAAGATGTGACAAGATCGCCAATGTGATGCCTGTAAAACGGTTCAAGAAGCTCCGAAGGTTCATCCATTTTATTGATAACCTCCAGCCAGTTGAAACTGACTGAGCCTACAAGATAAAACCTGTGCTTGAGCACATTTGGAGCAAATGCAAGGCCACAGAGAGCGAAAATCTCTTCTCCATTGATGAGATGATGATCCCGTACAAGGGTAAAAAGGCGGGGAACCTGAGGCAGTACCTCCCCAAAAAACCTAAAAAGTGGGGCTTCAAACTGTTTGTACGTGCGGGTGTTTCTGGGATGGTTCATGACTTCATTCTGTACACCGGCGCAACAACATTCGAAGGTATCAGACTTGAGGAAGAGGCGCTTGGTCTCGGCGCAAAGGTTGTGTTGCACTTGTGCGAGAGCATTTCTCGTCCAAATGAGAGCATCGTCTACTTTGATAATTTCTTCACCTCGCTGGAACTGATCTCACGACTGAAAGAAAGGTATTCTTTGCACAGTCTCGGCACCATTCGAAGCAACAGGCTTCGAGGCTGCTCCCTAAAGGATGACAAGTCACTGCTGAAGGACGGAAGAGGCAGCTTTGACTACAAAGTGGACAATGTGGCAGGACTTGCAGTCGTGAAATGGGCTGGCAACAAGACTGTAATAGTTGCAAGCTCTTGTGTCTCACAAGACCCAGTGGAAACAGCGAACAGGTTTGACAAGAAGGAGCGTCAAAAGATTCCAGTTTCTTGCCCACAAATTGTGAAACAGTACAACATTCACATGGGCGGTGTTGACCTTGCAGACATGTACGCAGCGCTTTATCGCACCCCATTCCGCACAAAGCGATGGTACTTAGGCATCTTCAGCCAGCTTCTCGATATATCCGTGAACAACGCTTGGCTACTACACCGACGACAGTCAAACCTCACTGGCGTGAAGGCAATGCGACTGAAACAATTTCGACTCGCTGTTTCAGAAGCTTTGATGCATGCAAGCCCCCCGAAAAGAGGGAGACCTTCTTCCACCCTCGATGAAGAACCTGCGGCGCAGCGCCCAAGAATGCAGACCACGGCAGCACCTGTCACCGATGTCCGCTACGACGGTGTGGGTCACCTACCAACACTGGAAGGCAAAGGTCGCTGCAGGTACTGCCCAAGCGGCCAAACATCAATTGCCTGTGAAAAGTGCAAAGTTAGGCTTTGCATAGTGACGGGAAAGTCCCCAAGAAACTGCTTCAGGTTGTACCACAAGAAGTAATTATTGTTTCAAATATTCAACATTTTGTTATCCCCTAACGGGCAGTGTGCACTGGGAGATACATGTCCTATCTCTTAAATGTGAAATAAAATGCCACAAAAAATAATGTTTTGGTGCTTGAATTGGTTCCTTAAGGAAATACTGATTGTGATATAATTTTAGTTCCATTTTTGAATGACTGCCCGAATAAGGGTTAAACATTCAATACTTTATGTGCACTTCATCGGGCAGTGTCACAAGTGGTTACTGGCATTCCTCTCCAACAGCTGCTGACAATTGGGTACAACAACTAACGCATCAAATCTGGTAGAAAAAACGAAACCTTGTTTTTCGGCCCTCGCAGAAAGTTGAAGCCCCGTGTAAACATCTGACGCTAGCGTTAGTGGTAGACTGCGAAAGTTGGCGAGCATACGACGTTATCGGCATTGAAAGCTAAAACAGAACGACGAAATTTCTCCGGTTACCGAGGTCTACCTTGGCGTAATATTCGTCAAATCAAAAAGTAGCATTGTGGGTGCGCATGACATTTATTTCAAAAAAAAAAAAAAATGCTGCAAGAAATACAAAAATGTTTCCTTGCAGAGGAGGAGGAGGAGGAAATAACTTTATTGAGTCCAAAGAAGAGGCCTATTCAGGCCCGTAGCGCCTTTATTTTTTTTTTTTTTTTTATCACCGAAATAAATGTTACGGGTTTGACGAATGGCCTGTCTAAGTACACGTCGGCACAAAGAGAAACTTCGTTCTCCTGATCTATCTTTTGATTCCAGTACGTCATGTTCTCAAACATTTGCATTCCATCACCGCCGCTAACATCACCCTCACAATTTCAACCTTCTGCGATAGATGCATAGTTCATTTATTCAGTGCTGATTTTTGGGCGAGTTGCTGTTGACTGTGGTTGTAGGCTGAATACATGGTGCTGAATGTGGTATAATAAGTTACAGCTCAAGAAGGTAGGAAACCGTAGGATGAGGAAGAGGAAGGCTTGGGGGGGGGGGGGGGGGGGGGGGGGGGGGCAGACGGAATGCTGGAGAGGAGAAGGGGAAATCTCTCTCCAGCATTCTGTCTGCTTCCTCCTCCCCGACCTTTCTTTCCCTATTCGCGACTCCAGCGAACTATAGGGGGCGCGCTGGTCAGGCAAAATGGCGGACGAAAGGAGGTCGTTTTCGTCTTTCAGCACGCGGACCACCATAAATTTCTTTCACTGCAGCGTAAAATCGGTGTTACATAGGAGAATAAAGCGATTTTTCGACGGTAGAAAGATTTTTCTAGTCAGTGCGCAGGAATGACACGACGGAAGCATAAAAATAATTACTGGGAACGACGAGAACCAAGCAGCGACTGCAGACAACGGAGTCGAAACGACCTCCTTTCCCGAGCTTCTCGTCGTTGCCGCTACGCGGCGTCGATTTCGCTGAAGTCGCCAATAGCAGGCTGAATACATGGTAGCTCCCGAGGACGAATAAAAACGGTTTTATTTTCTTTACTGGGCCCTGTAATTTGGACTTTGAGTTGCTAATGCAGAGCTGTTATGCTAGCAAGTCGGCTGCCTATACAACGGAACAGCACAAGGCTAGACAGCCACTTCGTGTGTTCTGAGGAATTCTGATCACTTATTCTCAAGGACTGGTTTTGGTGTGCATTGTGTCCTAGCATGCTGGCCCACACGATAGAGCGAGCTGCTAGTATCTAAAAAAACGTGAGTACGGAGCGCTTTTCGTAACACTCCAAATCGACCAGCGGAATCACCCCTTAGACAAGGCATCTCAGTAGGGTTCCGTCTCGGCGGCATTCCACAGTGACCAACACAATTTTAAACGGAGGCTCTAGCGGTTTTCTTTTTTTATTCTACTCGAAATAACCGCATTTTCGGCATACCCTGACTTTATACTTCCCGGCGTGCTATTCATTATTCCTGAGTTTAGAATTGCTGAGAACACGCCACAACGTATACCAAAACCAATGTTTAAGTTTCCGGTGCCTTTCAGTGGAGCGGCGTCGCGTGTTGGCGAACTTGCAGGTCGAGCAGGCAGTTTAGAAAAAAACAAAGTATGTCGCGAATCTTTGTCGTTCCCAACATTCAATCCACGCCAACGAACTTCCTGAAATTTGTTGGGAACAAGTTGTACTGCACAAAGTACAACGTGGATATATATTAACGGTTATACCCTTTATAATCATATCCAGAATTACACGTGAGTTTTCCATGTCGGCTTGTATTATGCAATTATACTTTTCATTAATCAGGTGTAAGCTGGATTTTTCTTTTGTTGTGTAGAATTCTTTTGGGCGTACGTACCAAGAGTCGATAGAAATTGTCCAGAAACGTTTCTTTCGAATTTTTTACTGCCGGTATGTCGGTCGCACTGTTTACCTTGAATATAGACAACTTTTAGAACGATACAATTGTTCTACTTTGATGGCCAGACGACGCGACAGAGATCTCATACATTTTTGTTCAAATGCCTCCACGGAGTCATTGATTGCCCTGACCTAACTTCAGCGATAAATATTCATGTTCCGAGAAAATTTTTGCGAATTTCTCTTCCATTTTATGTCGATCAATTCTTCCAAACCTGCCTCATGACACGCATTCAGACCTTGTATAATACTTTCGACGATTCCTGCATTGACGTTTTTAACCCATTTTTTGCAGCATTCAAGTTTTCTCTTACAAATCTATAAAATTTAAACCATCTTTTGTAGCGTTCACGGTTTTCTCTTGTCAGTCTGTAGAATTATTCCTTTCTTTTTGCTATATCTTAATTGTGCATCATTACAAAGGCAAAAGCTGTTCATAAGCACAAAAATAGACAAATGAATGAATGAATGAATGAATGAATGAATGAATGAATGATGGCTAATAACAGACTGGGAATAACACGAAAAAAAAATCTGTTACGTTTTGTGTTGCCAGCAGAGCCCTTCGGTTTGAAAACAACGGTGCGGACCAAATTCGAACGTCCAATAACTTTGCGAAATCAATTTTGAGGCAAATCAACAACCATAGAAGTTTCACCTTTGAAAGCATGAATTTGCTTTCAGCTATGCCTGTCACAAACGCAATAAAGTATGCAGCAGCTTTTTAATTCTTTTCTCTACTGAACCAGCGGTTAACGCACCTCCAAAGTTTGTCGCCGCAGGGACTCTGAAAGCTGCAGGGGTCTGACGAAGCCGGCCCTCCAGAAAGGGTCCTGCGGGGATCAACAGGGAGTTGTCATCGGCACAAAGGATATCATTGTTCGTTATATGGGTGAATGTGATCGAGACAGAATTTTTTACTTAAGCTACGGTTGTTACTAACTTTAAAAGAGACTCTGAACTAAAGTGCCTGCATAGGACGCGCAGCCCACAACATAAAAAAAAAAAAAAAAAAATTAAAATGTGTCGCGTACATTTTAGGTTGGAGTGGTTACCGAAACATGCTTTTGTCTCGTGACGACGACCTTGAAATAAAAGTATCCATTGGACTTTTAGCTCGAAATTAGTCTCGCGACGTAAATATCGCGCTAAAAATCTTTGTCGGGGAAATTTATTTTATGACATACTATATTGAGGGCTTCCTTGTGTCAAAGAGTATGACCTAAAGAGATACTGAACCGAAATCAGGATTTCGCAAAATAAGGCCGTAGAAGCATTGAACGGGATGCTACGAACTCCAAAATATCACTCGCACATCGATTTCTCAAACGGATGGCCGTACTTTTGGAAAAGAAGGGCGCGATCAGGCGAGGTCTTTGACGTCATTGTCCTCCGGGAGAGTTTGAGAATGAGGGAAAGCTGCCTCGCTTCTCTCCTCCTTGCTTTGGTTCACCAGCTCGACGGGACGTAGCGAGGAGGAGAGGGAATGGGAATCGTGACGTGACTTGTCTCTTAGGCCTCGTTGGCCGTGTTCAATCGCGCACTTCTTTTCCAAAAATACGGCTGTCCGTTAGATATATCGCTGTATGAGTGATTTTTTGGGGGGTTTTGCAGCGTCCCGCCTATCCGTCTAGCCTTGTTTTGTGAGTTCGAAATTTTGGTTCAGTATACCTTTAAGCTCTTGTCTAGCCTGCCCAGGATTGTATGTGGTTCAAGGCTACCCTAGTTTACCTCTACATAGTCGAACACCACCTAGCCTAGCCAACATTGCGTAGCCCATATACTAGCGATGCAAAACTATCGATAAATTGACTATCGATACTATCGATAGTTTCGTAAAAACTATCGATACTGTCTCAGAACTATCGATAGTCGACTCTATTGATAGTTTTTTTATAGTCGACTATCGATAGTTTTTTTTTACTATCGATAGTCAGATTTCTGGCGACTATCGACACTATTGATAATGCTATCGATAGTTTTGCACCACTATAGTCCGTTACAACTCAAGTAGGTAGGGCGAGGGTAAGACGGGCCGGGGAGTAAGAAGCAGACGGAAGGCTAAAGAGAGAAGGAGGTTTCTCAATCTCCTCTCCAGCGTTCCGTCTGCTACCTCCTCCCCGGCCCTTATTACCCTCGCCCTACCTAGTTGCCGCACCGCCGCCCCTTCGCCTCCCTTTGTCTTCTCCTCACCCAAACTCCCGTCTTCGTCATCCCTGAAAGCTGAACCAAAGTTGGGATGGTAAGTGCTTGGGCTAGTTGGTGTCCCATTTGAAAAAAAAAAAATAAAAAAAATAAAGCGATAGAAATAGAAAAGGGAGCGACGCAAACTACTAGTGCCGCAAAACTATCGATAGTAAATCGTCGACAGTACCATCGATAGGTTTACGATAGTCGACTATGGATAGCTTCCCGATAGTCGATTAATGATAATTCTCCTGATTGAAAAGGTTTACTCCGACTTAACATAACAAATTAATAACAAAAGGGACAGACGTTTCGCCACCTATGCAGGTGGCGTCTTCAGTATACACTGACACAAATGAGGTGAGGTCGACCAGTCTACTTATCACACACGTCCCCGTAAACGTCCGGCAGGGGGCCACGGTTGGTGTTGCACACCGATGAGTCACGGCGAATGAACCAGGACTCGACGAATTTTCTTTGCCCCCACCGATTGTCGATTATCGATAGTATTATCCATAGCTTTTCGACAGTCGATTATCGATAGTACTATCGATAGTCTTTTTTACTATCGATAGTCAGAATTCTGGTGACTATCGATACTATCGGTAGTGCTATTGATAGTTTTGCACCACTACCCTAGCCCATATACTCATACCCAAACTAGGCTCGCCGAGCCTAGTTTGGTGGTAAATACGCCTAAAAACACGGACAAAGAAAGAAGCACGCATGGACGAGGCGTAACTTGCAACTGAACTTTACTGAAGGAAACACATATGTGTTTCCTTCAGTAAAGTTCAGTTGCAAGTTACGCCTCGTCCTCTGTGCTCCTTTCTTTGTCCCTGTTTTTAAGCGTTTACCACCATGCATAAGTACCAACTAGTCCAACTCGCAGTTTTAATACAGCCTAGTTTGACTATACATTTTTTTAATGCAATAGATTTGTTTCAAAAACGTCGGGAAAGCTACACTTATCCGGTTTGTGCAGGTGAGTTATACGGAATCGTAACGATCAGTCAGGTAACTAATCAAAAGTTGTTATTTAACTTTTTAATTAGTGAAAATAGACATGGTTCCAATTAAAAACTTGACAAGCGTCATCGAAAATCACTGAATCAACTCTTTTTAGAAGGATATGAGGCAGGGGCAGCATTTTACGGCGTTCCGTGAAAACGCTTCATTTGGACGAGTTTCTAGGTTTCGGTTTCTTATCGGAGCACATCTCTGCTCCCGCGCCTGCTCCCCAGTAGCTGAGACGCGAAGCTCACCCCCTCGCCTCCCTCGCAGGATGGATGGAACTGTGGCGCACCTGTGATGCCCGTCTCAGCCACTGGGGAGCAGGATCGCGGGAGCAGAGATGTGCTCCGATAAGAAACCGAAACCTAGAAACTCGTCCAAATGAAGCGTTTTTACTGAACGCCGTAAAATGCTTCCCCTGCCTTATATCCTTCTAAAAAGAGTTGACTTAGTGGTTTTCGATGACGCTGAGCATAGTCTGCTCTATACTGACAAAGCCTGGAAGGTCGTCAGGTGACGGGGCCGCCGAAAGTGAAAAGATAGAGCGACGGAATAAGTCATGTAATGGGCGCCCCGCTGCGGCGAGACGCCGAAACACAATTGCTCCCGAGCGATGGAATGTACGCTCGTGCTTCTCGCGTTCCTCGGGCTGGCGCTTCTTTTCTCGTCGGGGTTGAAAACCACGTTGCGGGTCCTCACCGCTGCAAAAGCTGTGCGCTGAATACCAGACTCCCTGAGAAATCCTCTGTGCTACCAGATCCTCGCGCTCCGAATCTGCGACTGGGCACTCTATGGCTCCGTCATCACTACCAGGCTTTGTCAGTACAGGGGAGGCTACGCTCTCAGCAAGTTTATAATTGGAACCATATGTTTATATTAACTAATTATAAAGTTAATTAACACATTTTAATTAATTAGCCCACTGATCGTTACGATTAGTCCCCTATAGAATGCCTCCCCGGCCGTATAACTCACCTGCTCAAACCGCATAAGTGCAGTTTTCATTTTTTTTTAACTAATCTGTTACACTTAAAAAGAAACACCCTGTATAAGGTTGTGCGTGAAACAAGACCAGCTACACCTTGCAGTTTCCTCACCTGGTGTCACCTGATGAGTTTGTACTCATAAAGTGAGCCATCCGTTCCTTATAAGGGTGAACTGTACCTTCACGAGCACAAACTGCAGAGCAGGAAAACTAAATCCGAGTACTTGGTTTTGAAACTAGCTGGAACCCCCCAACGCAATGGGGTGTCTTTGCCATAATGCGTGACTGCACTGCGGAAAAGCTAACTGCTTGGCGAAGGTGGGATTCTGTGAAATCAAAGGCGACCCAAACCGGGCCGCAATCAGGTCTCCGGGAGGCGGGAGACGGATACTGTAAAATCGTTAATGCTCGCGAGCGCTTAATTTTCGCAAAATTGGCGAATTAAAAAAATTAGCAAAATTTAAGGGCACGCGAAAATTTCGATCTTTAAGAGTTTCAATGCAGGCGTCTGGAATTCGCGAAATTTAGTGATCGCTATTATGTCCTCTGTGACCGATTCGCGAAAAATAAAGGCCGGGAAAATAAAATGTTTTACAGTATTTTTGTCGAGTGGTGTGCCGTCACCGGTAACGTATTCCGGTTTCTGCTGGCCGGATGCAGAGTTGGAAACATCTCAACTTTCGGTGCCCAGCAACGACAATGCGCGAGGGTGACCATAAAAAAATTCGGCAGAGACACTTAAGACCGCTTACGTGTAGGAACGCGAAAGCATTCGTACACGCAGCGCATTCCTGCAAGCAGCGCGCCACGTCTTTCTATCGCACACGGCGCTCCGGAGGTGACGTCACGCCCCCTCACTGCGCATGCGCGGCGAACCCTGCCGGCTTCACGACGGCTTCCCTGACGAAGCATCTGCGTTGCTGTGCTTTTCTTTGTGTTCTATTTCTGAAGCGCGTCCGCTTTGACCTTGAGCGCACCCGCCGGCTTCCGGGACGAGGCATCTGCGTTGCTGAGTTTTCCTTCGTGTTTTAGTGCGAATTTGAATTTAGGTGGCCGTTTTTCTGCCACAGACGGTTACAGACCACGGTATCAGACAACGCTGGCTTCGCTCCATGGGGCAGTTAATGTTTTCGCATTAATAGACTATCGCAGGTCCTTCTCAAAGCCATTATAAGGAATAGGTTTTTTTTTTCCCCTCCTGCCCGTAGCGTCCACCATACCGCTGTGCGTTTCCCTTTCCAGTTTGGCCAGCGCAACAAACAACCCCCCCCCCCCCCCCCCAAGAAAAATAAAAAAAGTTGATTTTAATTGACCGTTGGTCGTGACACCACCCATTTTGATTAGACTGACAAGGAAACAGCGCACCCTCAAAACAAGCAACAGTTTTAACAGGTTTGATTAGACGCCTGAGGAAGCACCGTGACGTCGGTCACTTCAACTATCGCTCCGGTCGCCGGCTGCGTCGTACACTTTGGACACGCGTCAGGACACGGATGTCAAAAAATATCCGTCTTCCGCCTCCCAAAGGACATTCATTAATATTTTTTTATAGTAAAAACGTTTCTCCAATTTTTTTTTATGAAAAATGTCACCTAAAATGGCTTACAAGTAGCTCGATACGGAAGCACATATTTACCCATTTCTTCTCTCAGCTGAGGGAGGCCCTGAAATGTGAAACAATCCACTTAGTACAAAATCAGTCGAAGGAGCCAAAGACAATTTTTTTCATTAAATAGTTATCCCTCATTCACTAATAATTCTTTCCAACATTTTGCAGAAACGGAAACAGAGATTGAAGATTTCTTTCCAGCTACATTATGTACTAATATTGAAAATAAAAAAAAAATCTAGTCGCGTTGTTACGGTCAAAATAGGTTCACGGCTCTCTGGTATCTCGCAGGAGATCGCGATTCCAGAAATCGATAAAACGAACTTTTCGACAATTTCCAGCCACTCCCAGCGGCGGAAATGAGCCTTGCACTAAGTGTTGTATATGGTAAAATCGATTCAGCGTCCCCACTTCAAAATATCAATATTAAGATAAATTCAGTTTCAAAAAGTTACAAGCTGAAACAGAAATTATCACGAGAAAACTTGCACGCACCTTGCGCGCGTACCCCATGTTCATCGACGGTACAGCGTTAAGTTTGCTGCGCGCTCAATTCACAAAATGTACCGAGCACAGTCGAGAGGATGGCGTTGAGCAAACGTCTTTTCGGTTTGCGGACACAATCCACTGCCACCGGAAATCGGGGTCATGTGGAAAGCGGTGGAGCTTAAGACATTGCAGCCGCACTTGCCGGATTCCATGCAAGCTACATAGGTCCTCGGACAGTAATCGACGTTTTCTCTCGTTATTCGTGCATCCTATGACCGATCAATGGTGTCCCGATGACCAGGTGACTGTCGCCATCCAAGCCCGTGGCTCAAATTAAGTTTGAGAGTTTAAAACAGAGAAGGAAGCGCGAACGAAGTTCGGGCAGTGCATGCACCCAACAACGGCGAAGCCTCTCATCCGGGACTTTCACTCTTTCTAACGCACCAGCAAGGGGGAAAGCGCCGGTAGCCCTTTTCCCTCTACTCTCTCGCTCTCAAAATGGCGCTATGCACAATATATACATTCCACTGCGCTCATTTTTGTCAGACAGTACACATACAGCGCCAAATCTTCCCCTGCGGGAAGCTCACGTCGGAAAGGATGGATGCCCATCGCACTGCCCAGTGGCACCATAGTTGCACGGCGCCGAGGGAAAGGGCTGCCGCTGGCGCATCCGAGATAATCATTTCGTTGAGACGGCAGGAACTTGTGCAGCTATAGCTGCATAAGTCCCGGCATATATGCTGTTTCTCGACTGGCGCTCGGGATGTCCACGACGATGGATGGGGACAGCCGCCCATTCCGATCCAAGCGGGAAAACCCCGAGGCGGCGGTGTATCCAGCCGTTTCAACTACGCAAAGTCTCTCCGCGCCAAGGTCACTGGAATTACGCGGAGTAATATTATGGTGCCTGGAACGCGTCTCCGACGTGTGTTTACCGCGGCCAAAAAAGTGGTCCCTCGATTTTCGCCTCATGACATCATAGAAGTGTCATGTTGTCGTCGGTCGCGACCCTGGCGGCATCCCAACAGTTATAGTGTATATGGCAGACGCCTGTTCTGCTGTAGGACGCTCTCCACTGTGACTGTTCACGGAAGTTAGGGCAGCCGGAAGTTATGACGCCTGGGACGCCGCGACGACAGCGACACTCTCGTTCGCTCGTGCTTTTCGCCAGCATTTCTACGGCCAACCGCCAGGATCGTGACAGGCAACAGCATGACACTCCGGCTTCTCTGACGTCATTTGTTGCCCCTTCGGGACCCCTTTTGATGTATGGGCGGGATAGGACGCTAAACACACCAGTCGGAGACGCGATCCAGGCACCATAGTAATATGACATATCTTACTCCGCGTGACATTTTACTCGTATCAACAGACGATAGCTCTGTTGCTACGAAACCTACTACTAAAGCATACACTACCCAAGAAGTTATGAGACCATACTACTTAAGAATATTTTTTTTTCCAAAGGCTTGGAAGAAATGACCTAGTTAGGCTTTAGTATTTTTTTGTATCTCAAGAACTAATTGAGCTTTTTGGAGACTAATGGCATATATGAAAAGAAAGAGGAGAAACAGATACACGCGACGATTTTCATTATAATATTTGGGGGAAAACATTTTTAGGATTATAGTCCGTTGCAATTCAAGAACAGCGGAAGATAGCCCTTTTCTTTTTCCCCCATTAGCAGACCGAATGCGAAATAGGGGGAGAGAGGGTTCCGGCGTTTGCTGCGCTCTTCTGGAGTTGCAACGCACTTATACTCATGTCGTATTACACCTGAGACTGCGGTGGAAGAAATCGGAAGAACTTTCAGTAGAAGGAACAGACACAGAGAACGTCTCAAGTGCAGGCGAGCTGGTGGTAGCTAATCATGTCGTATTACACCTGAGACTGCGGTGGAAGAAATCGGAAGAACTTTCAGTAGAAGGAACAGACACAGAGAACGTCTCAAGTGCAGGCGAGCTGGTGGTAGCTAATCATGTCGTATTACACCTGAGACTGCGGTGGAAGAAATCGGAAGAACTTTCAGTAGAAGGAACAGACACAGAGAACGTCTCAAGTGCAGGCGAGCTGGTGGTAGCTAATCATGTCGTATTACACCTGAGACTGCGGTGGAAGAAATCGGAAGAACTTTCAGTAGAAGACGGTCTCTGTGTCTGTTCCTTCTACTGAAAGTTCTTCCGATTTCTTCCACCGCAGTCTCAGGTGTAATACGACATGATTAGCTACCACCAGCTCGCCTGCACTTGAGACGTTCTCTGTGTCTGTTCCTTCTACTGAAAGTTCTTCCGATTTCTTCCACCGCAGTCTCAGGTGTAATACGACATGATTAGCTACCACCAGCTCGCCTGCACTCTCACCGTCTTTGCACTTATACTGTTTCCTTTTTCAATGATCTCCACTCTTTCTGCTTCAGCGGAGTAAACGCTGGAGACAATCGTGGCAAGCAAAGAGGTTGGTGGGATCCGCTTTTCTTAACCCGCAACGGACTGTAGCATAGTTTTGACTGAAGCCCATCGAACGAGCGAACCCCAGCTCGTTTCAGAAGTGGGCCCGTTTCTTCTCGAAGCGAATCCGCGACCGCACGGGGGACCCTAAAGGAAAGAATGGCGCCTCACCGTAGGGGGAAGGGTTCGACCCATGGCTCTGTCGGTGGTGTCGATAGACGGATGGCTGACGTTCGAGTCCCTGCGAGGGTAGAACGGCGCACGCTAGGCGGGGTCATTGACTGCTAGCATCACACAAAAGAACGGGATGGAAGCACCATTGAGCAACATTGCTCAATGGTGTTCCTCGCCCAGTTTATAACGAAGGCTGACGCAACTCTTGTGTCTAATGCATGCCCAGTGCATATACGTGCCCGAGCAATATTGGCGCTGCAGCTACTACATATGTAAGGACAGAACGAGCGGGTTGGTATGGATAGTTAAACTTGAGGAAGAAACCGAGAAAGGACGGACAAACACAAACTTCCAGAAAAGTTTTGGAAGTTTGTATTTGTCTGTCCTTTCTCGTTTTCTTTCTCAAGTTTAGCTACCACATGGCGCCCTTTTTTGAATGTCGGACTTTCGTCTTGGGTGTTGGGGATATTCTGCTGTCGATAACGTTATCTGCGAAGAATATTTTTTTTTAATTTTATTTTCATTAGGGCGCTTTTGATTTTATGTACTATACCCATTCTTACAGCGAATAACCTTTATACTAGTTCGCGGCAGGAACAGCTATAGCTTTAGTGAAAGCAAGCACTCTAATCAGTATAAGTAAGGAACATCGATATCATAGTTGGGTAAGTCATGTTTAAAAAAAAAAAAAAAAAAGGAGGACATGGGCTTGAGTTTGACAGTATCTAAAACCCGAAAAACAAGCAAAGGAAAAAAAAAACATATTGTGGGGTTTCGGCTATACGTTTTTATAATCAACATAAATCGGATTTGTATGTTTTGACACGTGTTTTCTTAAGAAATGTACGACATTGCCACTTGTCGTGGATGTTCGAGATTACAGAAATGGTTTATACTCACTAGATTGGCAAACATCGCTGTAGTACGTCCACTGACGCTGGATCTGTGAGAGGGTTGATATTTTTTTTCTAGTAGTTTCAACACTAGTTTGTTTATTACCTACATTTACCGCAGTATTTGAGTAGCCGTCTTGATTACAATCTTACACTACATACCGGCTCACGCTTTTCTTATACAACTTTCTGCAACATTGATACAGTTCCGCCTTCTGCTGGGCTTGATAAATTGCTATATATATATAATATCACGCTTCAGTATTGTTCTTAAAAAAAAACTGACTTAGAATGACAAGCACTAAGCGAGATCAACACTAACCGAAGTCATAGGAATATATCTGTTTCAACATTTTCTGAACTTTCAGTAGTGCGATTAAATAACCGGAGGTCTATTCCGGGTGTTAAGTTTTTTAATAGGTTAGTTCATGAATCAATAGACAGTTCTACTGTCTTCCCTTCTCTACACTTCCGTACATTTCTTTTCGCGCAAGCTCTAGAAATCCTAGAGTATTTTACCGAGATCTTCATGACCCTTTGTCACCTGTATCACGAATCCAACATGTTTTAATCACGATGTTTTGCAGCACTGATATTTTTTTGTTGTAAAAGTTTGCCCCTTTCTAAACATATGTACCAATGTTAACCTTGCGTATGAATGTTAAGCACGAATATATTTGTGCCGATCATGCATATCCTGTTTTGTGTTTTACCGCAAGGACCTTCAGGCTGCTGGTAAGTACAGGAAAAGTAAGCAGTACATTGAATACTAAAAAAAAAAGCCGTTAAAGATTTTTGGCTTTTCTTTTTTCTCTCGTCGAAATACTGTTTTATTGTCTTAAGCGCACAGTACCCAGAATGTGTTTGTTTTTAGTTGCCTCCGCCGCAAACTTTCTATGCGCAATCATGATCTAGCACCACGTGGGCTTCGCATGTGCGCATGAATTCAAGAAAACAGATATGTAATCGAGCTTTCGGCTGGCCCACTTGAAGCTCGTGCAAATAAGAAAAAAAACAACAACAAAAAACTTAAAGTTTGTGCATTGATAACTATAGAGCGAGCAAGGAAGTCGTAACTCGACGTACCCAGTGTTCGGAGGTCGCTGCTGTTGGAAGTTCATGAGCGGGGTTCGATTTGCACCCCCGAACCCTAAACGAATAAAGCGATTATGAACAATGTAGCAGACCTAATGGGAATAAACAACCCAAAAAACGGGGACAGCGATGAACACACACACACTACAGGACAAAACTGTTTTCTACAGCTTTGTCTTGTTGCGCGTGCTCTTTTTTTTTTCACTGTCATTTTTTTAACTGCTTATTACGATCACTACCAACTGGCGCCCTCATTACCATCTTAGCATGAGTCAAACTTTTGTCGAACCTTTGTTGAGCTAGTTCGAGAGAGGCGAACATCTCGAACCTCGGCAATTTAATTCACGACTTCTCTAGTCCTTTATACGCTTCTTCGAAAATTAGCACTTTAGTGGAACGCTAATTATCCCTACCTAAGATACATAACGAATTTCCCCATTTTACGTAGTATATTGTACATTGGAACAAATACATTTAGCACCGGGTAGACAATGGCCGAAATTTTGCTATGCAAACCTAGAAAAGACGGAAGTTTCCGAAATCTCCCCCTCCCTCCCTCCCTCCCTCCCTCCCTCTCTCCCCTCCCCCTCCCCCCCCCCCCCCCCCCCCCCCCCCGGAAATGAAGAAGAGGGAGCCCTTTCTCGCCTACCTTGGATCGGTGCCGAAGTCCGTTGCTGAAAATCCATCCGCGGTGTCTTGGCGCGATCTGAGAATCCTGCTTAAAGACAGTTAATGCGGCATACTTTCGGTGCGAGGTCGGCAGCACACCTACATACTCACATAATATCGGCATCATACACTTTCGAAATGGCCCGCTATCAATTATTCATTCTATGCGGCTAGAAATTGAGGGAAAGGAGGAAACAAGAGGGGACGTGGGAACGTCGAGCTCTGGTTGGAGGGACTAGAGGGTAGACGCAAAGCCTTCGTCTCTTCTCACTGCTCGAATGCGTTCGAAGACTCGAGTAGAGGCAATGGCAGCCATCTTCGCTTCTACATTCTGATCATTCGGGGCGTCCGCTTCTGTCTCCTCTCCCTCATTTTCTGCCCGCATAGTCACTGACAAGGTAAGAACGGCAGGACTGAGCTTCAGTTATTCAGCGTCCGGAGAGAGGAGTGCCTTCGACAAATTACGCCTCGCAGCTAAAGCACGGCGGAAAGCAGACGAGCACCTGCTGGAGGCGTTCGAAAGACACGCGCCCTGCCGTTTTCACTCTGTCAGTGACTACGATAATATCTTTCGCGTGCGTATGCATGCTTGTATACGAATTGTTGGCAGATCAATATACAATAGCAGACGATCACAATATCAGCCTGCGTCCGATCTCGCTTTGCTGCGGCGCTTGGTGCGCAGCAGACGATCAACTTTTGTTCTGGTCTTTTAGCAGACGACTTACGGCGTTTTCTTGTTTTATTTCCGTCTGCGAATGACACTTCGTATCAGACGAACTACGTTTTTTCGCTCGCATTAGCAAACAAACTATAAACCATCTACGAACGCCATCTTGGCTCGCTCCACGAGAGGAAAATGAGATCTTGCTTTCGCGGTAACCAAAATTGGACGCCTGGGGACACTCCTCCCACCTCTTTCCACTTTACAGAGCGAACATAGGAGACCGACTATAGAACAAACGAAGCTTGGTTTTACTTTGAGCTAAGCCGGGGTTACACCAGAACATTACTTTTGCTCGTTTTTGTTTTCTCTTCCACGTTCTCATTTGCTTGCCAATGGAACGACGCAGAAAAAAAAAAAAAAAACACACACACACAAAAAAAGAAAACCTCAACGTTTTGATTTGTTCACAAAAGCACTGCGTGTTGTTCGTGTTCAGCCCGCTATATAAATCTAAAATTTCTCACTGAAAATTTGAATTGCTGTTATTTTTATATAATTTTCAACCAACAGCGCGGGCAGAGTTTTTTTTTTTTTTTTTTTTCTTTAACAGAAGGTTTTCTGATTTTTGTAGAGCAGTCGACCGCTCCCCGTTTTCCCATTTTGAAATACCATGTTCGTTACATTGAGCCTGATAATTTAGTTTCTACGCAATACGATCAGTCGAATGTTTCACCCTTCATCGCTTCAGTGCCGTGGATTCTATTTCCTATACGGTTGTCTGGGAGCAAAAAGAACCCCGCTTACATCGCCGGAAAAAAATAAAAAAACTATACTCGTCGCCGGACACGCGGTCTTTACCCGAAGTGTAAAGCTAACGGTTGAAACCAGACGTAAAGTTACACGCGGTTTTCCGAAATTTCGTTGCAGACGCCATTGTAGCAGGATAGCCAACGCTCATTTCCACGTATTGGCGGGCTTCATTGGCCGCCATTTTCTCATTGGACATTTTCAAAACTTGTCAGATTGACGGCAAGTCCTGAAATATACTGTAAACGACTTCATTTTCGCGAGGACGTCAGTTTAACAAATTTCGCCGACTTGAGAAACGTCGCGAAAGAGTCCCGCGAGTTTTATCGGCCCATGGTAACAGCACATTACCAGTTCAAATCGCGAAATCTTGTGACCGCGAAATATTTGCGAAACCCGCTCTTCGAAAACTTAGCGAAACAGTATGCAGCAAGTTAGGTAGAGAATGAGCATTCGGTGACCCCCATAGTTTATTTTTGTGATGAGCAAAACACGGTTCTTTTTTCTCCCTAGCACCCTGTACACTAGATTTTTGTTTTCGTAACGCCAGAGTTCCGTGTTTGCGGGGTTAATTTTTCTCGAAGTTCGGGGTTTATTTTTTCCTACAAATTCGGTGTTCTTCGAAACCCATATTTTAATGTCAGCAAAAAAAAAGAAAAGCTGGCGTTTTTTAGGGCTTATGTTGAAGAAAACCGGACACGAGCGACGGATCCTTCAACCTCAAGAAAACAGGCGCGCGACCCGAATACCTGAAAAAAAAAAAACGTAGAAAACGGGACAATAGAGAGTTTTAGTAGATCGTTCCGATGACTCTGGCAACGACACCCGATACTCCGCCGCAGAATTAAAGAGTTTTAGTAGATCGTGTCGATACCTCCAATGCGGCCCCGATAACGATACGACGCATGCCCGAAGGCGGCGGCGGAGTGTCGGGTAGCTTTTTCGGAGTCATCAAAACGGTCTACTAGAACTCTCTATTTGCGCGTGCGCGTTATCGTTATTGTGTATCGTTATCGGATATCGGAAAGATAAACTCTCCAATGAAGAAAGCAGTATCCTCACGGACAGTTCTGTGGGGAGCTGTGTTCCCCCCGGTGAACGGAAAATAAAGCTGTAAATAAAGAGTTATTCCCGCGATGGTTTATTCGGGTTTACTTTTCGAGGTTTATCGATATACGCACCTAAAACGGGGAAGCCTGACGCACACGGATACTAAAACTTGGAACGAAACCAAAACTCATCACTTACGATGGGCACCGGACTTTACCAGAGTTAAAACAGCGCAAACGACCAGGGACAAGAAGCAGAAGGACACAGCGTTGTGTACGTGTCCTTCTGCTTCTCGTCCCTGGTCGTTTGCGCTGTTTTAGCCTTTTTTAAGAATGCCAGACCAACTAGTCCGAGCTTCAACCGTAGCTATGTTTACCAGAGTGCCCACGGGAGGCCGGCAGGTCCGAGGCGCAGCTTGAGGAAGTTGAGAACAGGGTCTGATTCGAAGCCGGAGGCCGAAACTGGAACGGCACCGAAGGACGCTCTTGTTCGGGCTGTCTGTTCCTGGGAGCGTTTTGCGGCAGGCTGCCGAAAGATTGCCGCCACCATTCAATTGCGTTTTAGGGGACGCCATTACATTAAAAAAAACAGTGGCATTTTAAGGGGGGGGGGGATAAAAAATACATTAATGTGGAACATTAGCATCAAGCAGTAGCATAACAGCAAATCATTAAACATTTCAGGAAAATAACATACATGCGAAACATTGGCGCCCGCACGCCAATGTTTCTGCTAGCATCGCACATACGCAGTAGTGACATCGCTTTAGCGTATAGCGTGGCAGGAGTGCCAAAACGATCTACTAAAAATCTTCCGTTTATCAGCACCGTAGGAGGACAGTACGCAGGCCTTCTGTCGCTTTCCCGAAGGTCAACACCCTGCAAGTTTGCTTACGCCAATGCATTGCCGCAGGTTTGAAACGTAGCGAAAAAATTCGGGTCGGACAAGCTTCGAGTTTAATGCCTGCCTGCTGAAACATGGTCGTTGTGCGTTGCGCTGGCGCTGACACGGCATGACCTGTTTTAGACCACCATATTCGCCCGATAGTGGCGCTGGAGTCGCAAATAGCTAGTATGAGTACCTAAAAAAAAAAAAAAAGTTACAGTACATTTTTTAGTTTATTTCTGATGGAATGAATTTGTGTTAATTAAGGCTTTCACGATATTACTGAAGTAAGTATGAAACTAAAACTTGGAAATTGCATCAGTGTACAAAATAGCTGGTCTTCTTAGCTGCCCTTTTCACCGTGTTCACAATCAATTTGCATATCTATCTACCTACAGAACTAAAGAAAAGAAAAAAAAAACCTTGTACACTAATACGACGAAACGAGCATAAAACATTTTGGAAAAAAACAAGGAGTTTTATCAGTGGACTTTTCAATTTTAAGGAGTTCAAACCAATCTTCCTCGCCCTGTACACGTATTACACACATAAAATACGCAAACTAGTGTCGGTGCTGCGAGCCACATTTGTTTAATTAATATATCGCTAAATAGAAAATATATTAAAAAATAGGTGAAGAAAACGATGTCATTTGCGTGCCATATGACGGGGAATGTATGGTGGGCAACCATGGCCAAACAACAAACTGACCTGTGCGCTCTTTATTGAGAAAAGTTCATACATTATATAATGCTTATTACGTGTGGTATATTATGAGATGTGGGTCGCATGGGCGCATGTTTTTTTTTTTTTTTTCGTAATACGGCAATTTTTTGATGAATGCATCTGGACATCTGAATGCTTTGACAAATACTACGGGACGAGCCAGCAGGAAAACAAACAAACAAAATGACACCTTTGCTGTTGGTCTTGTAATCTTCGAAGTTCAGCCTTGAGTGCTGCAATCTGTTCCTTATAGGCCCTGTCGCATTGGAGAAAATGGCGGCGACATCAACACAACATCTTCATCGAGAGTAGGTCAACATGTTTTGTGAACGCTCTTTGTTGCATCACGGCCCCGTCACATTGCGAGAACAGCAATCCCCCATAAACGATAACAATGTTGTTTCTGTAATATGATCGGTTTCAGCAAACCCAACCGAGCGACCAACTGTGTTCGCCGACACGTGTCGCCCGGTTTCTTTGCCGAGTTAATTTTTTTCGGCAACAGAGCAACACCAGCAGCTTCGTTATATGAAGTGTCCTGCCAGACAGTTGATTTTCTCTAAAAAAAAATGTACCTAAAGCAAAATTTCGCCAAAGATATTCAATAATAATCAAATCTTAAAGGGACACTGGCAGGGTATTTATGCTTGTCCAGGTGTTTATTTGAACATGAAGAGTTACACTTCCCAGAACATGATTTGCGGCTCGAAAATCGTTTTCTTTCCGCCCGAAAAACAGACGGTCGAAGATTGGTCGGTTATAGTCGCGCTCTCTACTTATTGTGGTCACGTGGCGTTCAAACTATGTGTACCAAATTATTCAAAGTCGCTAGACATCCAAGGCACACAATCAATATTAAAATAGGAAAGAGAATAAACTCCCCTTTTGAGACCTCTAAAAAACTACAAATACGCTGATCGAAACAAAAAACAAAAAAAAAAAAAAAGTTGCACAAATCACATAAACTCTTTGTCCACGTCATTTTCAATATAGCGACGTACCGCGGTCTAGATGACGGGAGACGTGGAGCCGCTACTTCGGAACATGTCGTTCGTAATACGAGTCAACCGATCTTCAAGTACAGAACATCGAGCGGAAGGAATATTTAAAAAAATCTGACAACAATGAAAAATAAAAGCTGGTTCTGGCTGGGTACACTCTGCAGCGGACGCCATCTTGAAGGGTGCGCCCGGTTTGTGTTTACGTCGCCACGCCTGTTTCGTGGGGGGGTGAGGAGGTCGTGGATGGAATACAACTGCTGTTTATTTATCCCGCGCCGAGTGATTTTTTTTTTTTTTTTTTTCTGATCGGAATAAGAACAAGCGACTGAGTGATACCGTTTATTTGTTAAATGTGAGAGCGAATTAGATCCTTGATCGCCCTCGGTGATGCGCTCGCAGCCACCTCGTTCGTTGTGAAAGATAAGTGCGCGTTCGTGGCTACGTGAGTTCAAAGGCTTGTTGTTGCATCATTCTGTTATTGCAGAGTCGAGTCTCGATCAGTCGCAAGATTATGTACCACGCACTGCACAGCTGTTAGCGATCTGGTGACCACGGGCCCACCGATTGGTTGTCACTGCGCTTGCTAGTCGTGTGACTGCCAAACTCGCAAGCAGATTGCAGGCCGCACGCGAATCAGGTATACACCAACTCATCTCTGTTACGTCACGGCGCGGTGGTGGCGCGTCGGTCGCACTTCCGGTCTGGGGCTGTGGGCAGAGGTCCCCATGCCAGACGTGTATTCCTGCGTTGTTTTGAAAGGAACCAGACAAAAACCTGCCTTCTCGTCAAAACGCCGCGACTGGGGCCGTGCCAAAAGTGTCGAGAAAGGTTTGAAGGTCAGTTTTCACGTGCTTGGTTCGTCCGAGAATCTGGATATGTGCCGTGAAAAGGGAAAAGCAGACGCCGTCGGACCACGATTGTTTGGGCTGGAAGCACTTCGGGTTGACTTCACGGATACTTGTTGTCATCAGATTTACTTGTTTTGTTCCAACATGAACGCCAGAAAACCGTCAATTTGTGCGGACCACCTGCGGACTACGTTCAGTGCGCCTTCAAGTTCAAACGGTTGCCTGATCGTTCGAACTGTCGTCTGCTCTTTCAAGCGTTTCTGCTTGTCGTCTGCTCTCTTAGACGACGCCGGTCCGTAGACCAAATCGTGGCTCGGTACTTGCGATAAGAAGTAAGTGCAGGCCTCAAAAGACTTAAATTCGAAGGCTGGTAAGCAGGCTCGATGTAAACAGTAGATAAAAAAGGTGTTAATCATTGTTACCAGTGACCATCACCGACTTGTTAACCCTAATTCACTTGGTCCGATTCTGCTTGCGATTTTCAGTATCGACGTCGACTATCTCAGCTACGGTTCACGCTTTTGCAGCCCGAGCGGCGTCGTGACTGAAAATTGCGAGCGAAATCGCATCATGCGAATCAGGCTTTAGCGTACATACTGCGGCGTCCACGCGGAATGAGGCGTCACATGTCAGATTATTCACGCGAAGCTTTGCGGTGTAACGAGCCTCGGTAATTTCGCTGACGCCGCTCAAGTAGTCAGACATCGCCAGGAAGACGTAGAATCAACAATTCGAACGCGAAAAAGGGCAAGGGGACTCACACCGACGCCGACAACATCACATTCCAATGGTTTGTTTATGGGCGACGGTGAGCTTTTTGCCCACACCCCCATCGCGCATGCGCGGCGCCGGTGGCGTCCGCCAGGGGCGTTCCGGTTTGTTTGTAAACATGAGCGTCTAGAAGCAGTTTTGCGAAAGCAGTGTCCCTTTCTCTTTGCTTGGATGGCTCTAGCGTATCATCTGTGTATGCTGGTTATTTAAAAGCCAAATTTGTTTGAATCGCAATTCTCACTGCGGCTGATTTTTAAGTTCTGCCACAGATTCTAACATTCGCAAACACACAAATAAAGTGCCTGCGTTAAGATATGTTGCACGAAATAAGTTTTAATTTATTGTTTAATAAGTCGTATCCGCGGCCGAATAATTTTCCCGCGCCCTGTCGAACGTATTTGCTAAATCGAACGATCCTTGTAAAACAGTCGGCATACGTATTAACGACAAAAATATTGTGATTTGTGACTTTGATTTGTACTTAGCAATTTGAACGGTGCAATCAATCAGCTATTTAAACTGGTCAGAAAAACACGCGAGGCCGTAGTTTTACCCACCTTCTGCTCTACGAACGCAACTTCCCACACGAATAAAGCCGTAATCAAAACCGACAGCCGCACACTTTTACTGAATAACAATATATAGTTACTCCATCTTTAGTGTAGCAGGCTCACTTGCAAATCTCCGCGTCAGACGGGCCTCGCCACGTCGGACGGGCCGCCACGCCGATCGTGGTAGAACAAGACAGATAGTTTCTTCACCAGTTCGGGCAACCGAACCATTCTCCATGTGTTTGTACGCAACAAAACGCGAACCTTTTGTGATTAGTATTACAGCATCGAAACGTGCGCAGACTCCCATGAGTGACGCGGTATTCTTCAAGATGGCGTCGGGGTCTAGTTGCCGATCCGACGTGCGGACTGCCGGAATCACCTTGGGGGGGAGAGGGTTTTCGTAGCATCGGAGAGTGTTGAAAACCCTCGCCTCCGACCGTCGTATTGCGCGGTCGGACGTCGGATCGGACGGTTTCGTCGGACATGTGTTTCGAGCTTTAATCCCACGACAAACGGTGCGCGCAACATCTGCTTCCCACGCCGAAGAAATGGTGACTTCCGGTCATGAGCTTCCGTGCCGATGTTTCGGATTCTGTTTCTAGCAGTTGAGTTTTTTTTTTTTTTTGTTTTTTTTTTTTATTAAAAATATATGTGTGACTGCAGCAAAATATTAATAGGGTAGTCTTGTCAAAAAAAAAAAAAGCAATGGTGGTGTCAGCCGCTGAAATAATTCGGCCGATGGTTTTTTTATCGACGTAAATTACCAATCGACTGCGCTTTTAAGTAAAGTACCATAAGTGCCTCGGGAAAATGTCTCTAGGAAGCATACTGCAGTGATGCAAATGCCGATATCTCGAACTCATTTTCAGTTTGTGGCACTATGTGTGACTAGCGATTCATAAAAATTTCTGATACGCTATTCAAATACCGGTTATGAGTCAAACTCATTATAGTAAAAAATCTCGACATGCAAAGCCGTAGCGATACATAATTTTTACTTACACTGATACGTAAGATGCCTTCTAAGTTCTAGCACTAAAGGTACTTTCACATAGTAAAAACGATATTTTATTTTGTAAATTGACTTACGCAGCAACTCACATTTATCATAAACAAATACTTTTGCCGTGGTCGCAATGCGCCTGCCCAGAAACCATTTTTTCCCCTTGTTTTTTTGGAAATTGAGGCGCTTGCGCAAGCACCGCTTTGCTGACATGATGTCAGAGCTACGAGATTGTAATCAACTCCCGCCTGTACTCGGAAAGTTATGGCGAGTCCTCACTTTTTTTCGGTGGCTCTCGACGTCTTCGACTGCTCGAGTCGTTCCACGTATTTTCTCAGCTTGGACTGCGCCGCGCTCACCTGGTTTTGTCAGAGGGATTATGGGGAGTTATAGAACACTCAGAAAAGTATTAATGGCACACAAACAAGGAAACGAACGCAGGCGAAAAAGAACACGTGACACTGATATGGTGAGTTTCACCCCAAGTCCAAGCGCAACCCTCGATCCGATGGAGTCAATCTCGTCGTCTATGGGCGTTTGCCATGCCAGCGGCTAAACCCATCACACACGCAGAAGGATGTGGAGGACGAGGCTACATTCGCTGTGCGCGATCGTTTTAGCCGCGGTGATAGCAGACGAACAAAGACGACCGTGACAATGCACTTTAGATGCGCCGCTCCACTGGCTTCGTCGGTACGTCGGCTGCCCGCTCTCGCACACCGTGGGACGTTGAATGGGTCCGTTACGAGCTTGCAGCTGCACCCAATGTTTTCCACTATGGAACGCAGAATAGACACCTTTTCATGCGATAGCATTGTACTTCACCCGGTTGTCGCGATTATACGCTGGCCTCGAATGCCCCGAGCGGGAGCGTTGCGCCTCCGCATACGCGAGGAGTCCGCATACGCGGGCGCCGCGCGTATGCGGATGTCGACCTCGAGGTCGTCCCAGAGGTCGTCCTTGAGCTCGCCCTAGAGGCCGTTCTAGACGCCGCCTTGGACGTAATCCTCTAGGACGTCCGTTCCAACGTCGCCCTTGAGGTTGTCTTAGAGGTCCTCCTAGAAGTCGTCTTTCAGATCACCCTAGAGGTCGTCCTAGAAGTCGTCCATGACACCGCCCTAAAGGTCGTCCTAGACGCCGTCCTAATTAGTACGTCGTCCTCGACGTCGTCTCAGACGGCGTCCATGAGGTCGTGCTAAAGGTCGTCCTAGAGATCGTCCTTGAGGTCGCCCCAGAGGTCGTCTTTGACGGCGTTCTCTAGGACGTTGTCCTCAACGTCGTCCTAGCAAGCAGATAAACCCGCGCCGCGCATACACGGAGCGACAGTACGCAGGTTCTGCAAGGACTAACTATTCCTGGAGTGAAAGGTCGAATACCTCGATGGATTGCAAACTTTTCGCGCGGTATGAACATCTTTGTCATGATTCCGCGGATGGGAAAAGTCAGGAACATTGCCTCACGGTGTACCACGAGGCAGTGTACTCAGTCCGATATTATTCGATACAATGATGGCACAAATGGCTCGTCTTATCCCACCGTTTCTTCATTTCTCAATTTATGATGATGATATTTATCTATGGGTTACAGAAACTTTTTTCGAAATAATTCAAGAACAGTTACAAGCAGGCCTCAATGTCATCCGGTCCTTTCTAAGTAAGCGAAGGATGGACTTATCGGCGTCGAAATCGTGTGCTTCCATTCACACGCAGACAGCTGAAAGGGTTTAGACTTACCGCGGAAGGACAAGTCCTTGAAATGGTGGGAGAACATCGTTTTTTTGGCGTCATTTTGGATCACTCTCTTACTTGGACAAAACATGTGACTGTGCTAGTAACCGGACTGAACTGTATCATGAATGTCCTTCGTTGTATTGCGGGGACCAGATGGGGAGCGTGAACATCTTCACTTTTGCACCACCGCAAACCATCGCATATTCAATACCTATTTTACATGGACTTTCCAGGACTAGAAACAGAACTACATTACCTACTAGCACGTGTCCTAAGGATATGATTGGGAGTACCCCATGCCACATCGGGAGTTCTAATACTTGCAGAAACTCGAGAGTGTCCAACCCCGGTTCTTTGAAGCCTAGAACTTTTCACACTTTTTTAAAGATTACAACACAACATTATCACAATTCACTTGAAAACTACCTAAAGGAAAGGACTGGTGCACAAATGCATACTACACTTATGTCCAACCACTATCCCCAATATTCTTTCTGGGAGTACGATGATATTTGTGCGCCATCGACAATAACAGTACCCCTAATCCAAATGGAAATTCAAAACCTGAAGAAACTATTAACTGTGCCACCTGTAGTTGCAATGCAAATGACTCTGAGTCGATGTGTTCAGCAAATATAAAAATTGCGCATTTATCTAAACAGACAGATTCGTTACGGAAAAGGGTTTTGCGTCTGCCTTCTTCACACCTGACCTAAATATGCGCGAGTCATACCGCCTCTCTCACCGAATTTCATCAACTACCTCCGAGCTGCATGGCAATCTTTCTGCCCTTTTTATCAGACAGATCAACAGTACTCGAGAATGGGTGGTGTGTACAGACTCCAAAGTTGCCCTTGCCTTTTTACAAGCCACGAACATACGTGGTCCCAATGCTATGTTGTGTACCAGATCCTTCGGGAAATTTCAAGCGCGACAGAGGAGGGACACAACATCGTGCTTCGGTGAGTTCTCGGGCACTGCGGCATTCCTGGGAATGTAACAGCTGATGAACTTGCTACGCTAGGACATAACAGGCTGAGCTTACAAGAGGTTTCAATTTCACCGTGTAATATACGCTTTATAATCAAAGGCTTCCGTAAGCGCTTGTGCAATGTTGCCTGGGTCAATGAGCATGCCCCAACGTCTCAGTTTTACGCCATAGATTCTCTCTCAACCATCCAATAGATACAAATTTGCCAAGAAATATTGACACATTAATTCACAGGCTCCGACAAAACGTCGCATTCAATGGGAAGTTTCTCTGCATTGTATGTCGAGCACCACCACCAGACTGCACCTGCGGCCTCGCAGTCTAAGATGTGGAACATCTTATACTTGAATGTGGACGTCTTTTAAGAGAACGACAACGTCTGGAGCAGATGCTTCGAATAATGGACAATCGACCGCTCACACTTTTAAAAGTGGAGGTACCATGACCGTCTCCGGCACTACAGAAGAGAGTTCTGCATGCTGTTCGCGACTTTCTCACCGAAACTGATATCACACAGAACTATTGAGTTTTTGCGACTAAAATTGTTTAGATAATTGTTTAGGAGTTTGTATATCCAGGATTGTTTATACCGGTTTGACTAAGTGCCTATGGGAGTGACATATGCTATGTACGTACATTATTAGGTAATGTTCTACGGTTTCCTTTTTTTTTTACAGTTGGCAAGGAGTAGCCGGTACTGTGAAGACAGCGCCAACATCTCCATCGAATTCAGTTAATATATAAATAATAATTAAAAAAAAGCAAAAAAAAACACGGGAGGGGAGAGAGCGAAACATGCGACCTTCGAAAGTCGGGAAACACGTTCGTTTCCATCGCGGTCGCTCCTGCGCTTCATAACTTAAGAAGAAAAAAAAAAAAATTATCCGAAAACCGCAATTTTTATTATTTTTTATCCAGGCAGAAAATTCCATACAACGTACATTAATTTTTCTTGAAAATTAAACAATTTTTTTTCGCTGACACATTTTGAAATAAAATCACCCAGAAAACAAATACGAAGCATATGGCACCCCCAATCGCAAAATCTTGTGCACGCGAAGTATTAAAAAAAAAAAAAAAAAAAAAAAGCTACTTTGCAAAATTCGCAAAATAGGTCCAACGTTTGACACTTTTTTTTTTTATGGGAACACGATAATTATTTTACGACGCGGAGCCGGCGGCGTCTCTAACCTCGAAAAAACGCGAAAGATATGCCCATTTTCTCACGGCTATGCGAAACGGCTTCATATAGATAGCCATTGGCGGCCGTTTGACGAGAGCGCGCGTTCGGCCGCCACTATCGTGTCAGGCGTTGCCGGAGAGAGGGGGGTTCAGACTTGTGCCTATCTCAAATACTGTATTTCAAATACTCTTTGAAGCATCTTGCTCTCTTGCAAATACTTTTGATCGAAAGTATTTGATACCCTCTTTTAATTACCTTTCTGAGTATCTTGTCCTCATTATCTCAAATACATTTTTGACATTCCGCCATTTTCCGAGTTTTTCGGTACGAAGTGGCGGAGGCCACTTCGTTTTTGACGAGCAAACGAAATTTTGACAAGCAAACGTCAAAACTCTGTCGAGCAACCAAATCCTGTGACTTTGATCGAGCTCGTGAAAACAACATCGCTTTTTTGCCGATTGTGACTCATATTTCAGCCCAAAGTTCGTACAATGAAGGTTTTCCCCTCGCCTTCCTAAAGGCGCCTTTTGTTTTTTCCTAAAGTTTCCCCAAAAAATCCTCAAACAAAATGGGTGGTTTTATTACGGTAGTAAAGATTGCCACACTGAGGCGCGACGCAGACCGGGAAACGACCTACGACAACAATGCAGGCTTGAGTCTGAAGAAAATAACAAATAAAAAAATGAGAGGTGGACAAAAAAAAAACATTTTTGTTTAGCTTGTTACGGCAAAACGTTAAGGTTTTCTTTCGTTTATTTTCTTTTTGTCGTCAATCCGACTCTTATTGCTCTCCAGAACAGGACAGGAAGCAAACTAAGAGCAGCGATCACCTCCCAACATCCCAACAAAGCGTCCCCCAACGTTGAGTGCCTTTCTGAACGCAACCTACTTGAAGAAGGTGCGACCACTGCTATGTCTATTATATAGGTTCTCTTTGTTATCCATTCACTCATGTCCGTACTATCCCGAGTGCGTTTAAAGTGAAGTTCCCATAATGGGATAATGGATCGTATTTAAACGAGGCGTCGAAGGTGCGCGGCAGGACGTGATATTGAGCGATGTCACTATTCGCCTCGAGATCGACCTAGAGGTGGCGCTACGGTCGCGCTATCATCATCATCAAAGCGGGGATAGGAGAACGGCCGCCCCATAGGCTCTCCACGTCGGCGCGCGAGACGGCGTAGATTCTTCCGTTTATTTTGTCGCATACTATCGGTGGGAAAACAATTCTAGCGGAAAAAGATGCAGTACTGTTCGGTGCTTCAGTGAAGATCGAATCGTGTTACCAGCGTGCGGCCCAAATTTATATAATCGCTTCTGTGGGTGCGTCGTCTGCTCTAGGCAGACTTTGGAAAGCATGGATCACCACGACTGATGCCTGTCTCCGGCTGAACTGGAATATTTATGTTAAATATTTGTTTCTTTTAAAATGGATGTATCGGTTCATCAACGTGGAAATAAAAAAAAAATAAAAATAAAGTCCGACCCAGTTAACATAATACTGGTACTGTGGGCTGTGAAATCGCAGCTTCTATGCTTTTTTTAACGTCAAGCTTTTGCAGTAATATAAATATTCAGAATGAAGATAAGCTAGCGTTGTATTAGAAATTACCATGCTATTGAGTTCCTCTGCCCTTTTACTGTGCCATAGTGTGGGTAAATTTTTTGGAGTCTGAACAAATCTACTGCGTTGCGATGAGGAGTGAGTGTCTCTTCTAGTTAAAATCTGCAAACTGCACGGTTGGCAGGACAACTGAAACAAGTGAAACAAACTGTTCTAATATATCTGCCGTGACTGTAATAAACGAGTGTAACCGAGCAACGCAACAATGTTCCTGCTATTAAATGCTTTTCTCGGTAGTGTGGGTTCACCCCCTTCAATTTTCTTGGTGAGGGCCGCGGATGTCAAGAGGCTAATACTATACATTTCTGGCTAAATAATCTTGTATTCAAACACAGTAGACTCTGCAACCCCAACAAACGACGCGCACCACGACACAGACAGCATCGGCCGCAGTGATACTCTTTTACTGATGAGGGCTAGCGACCTTCACGAGACTTTCCGATCTCCCTCCGCCCTCACCTAACCTATATCGGGACTGGGCAGTTCATCGATTAACTTTTAGATTATTCAAGTAATGCTTTAATTTCAATTTTTTTTTTGCCATTCAATTGGAGTCTAGTACTGGAGAAAGTCAGCAAGCAGTAAAATATGCCGGCTTCAATATTTTTGACGTCTTTATTTCTTTTGTGACACTAGCTTGCACGGTAAACCACTTCAGCGTGCTTGTCATTTCGCCGAGGGTGATTATACTGTTTAAATAATAACTTAAGAAATACTTTATTTTAAAAGGCTTCCCGTGATCATATTTATGTAGGACTCACAGCGTGAAGTCTAGAATGGGAATGCAATATGCCATTTGTGACATAGTAAAACCAGTACAAAATATGTAGTTTTAACGTCTTTCACGCAATATGACCGGGAAAAAATCAACGTACGGATTAATTGATTAGTCTA